GAGATGGTGGTAACTGGTGACGGGATAGTCTGGAGTCAGGTGGGTCCCAAGATGTGACTCTTAAGATAAAAGTGTGCTCTGAATATATCCCCATGTGTTAGTCAGGTCTGAGGGACAACCCAGACTGTGTGAACCCATTTAATGTTCCTTATGTATCTCTCCAAGGTGTCTACAATAAACCACCCTGTTTTCACTGCCAAACACTGCTGTAATATTAGAAGGCTCTGTGATCTTCTCATGTATCTCAAATCAGAGATACAACTGATTTTAATTAAGGATAAGCCTTTCTCCAGCTCCATGTGCTTACAATATGCATACAGCAGGCTGTCTCTAGCCAGGTTCCAAGTGGGTCCTGTCGCATTCAGTAAAAGATGGAGGTTAGCAACCCTCAAGTGTTGTCAGAAGGTAATGACATACTGTAGCATCTAGTCTCAGAGGAAGCCCCAGTCTCTCTGTTGAATGATACTGAACCTGAAACAGGTTTCCCCAGGAGACCCGAATGTGTGATGAGTTAAGGAAAGGACAGGTCCTTTAACCCACTGATACAGAAGCAGACCGTGGGAGTGAAGGTAGAGAAACCAATGAGGGGTCTTGTGAGAACGGAACCTGGTAGTTAGCAGAGTGATGGATCTTCAGATTTCTGCATGTGTCCTTCTGTTATTCAAGGCTCAAGTCTGAGTTTCACATTAACTGTACAACTTTTTAAAGTCCCACATCGCTCTCAGAGAGTAATCCAGGACAATTGACCTAGGAATTGACCCATGCAGAGATTAAGAAGTAAACTGAGATTTCACAATTAATGACCATCTCACCCTGTTCATGGCAGTCCAGGATATTCCAGGGAGGAAGTTGGGAGGTGCTGGAAGGGTGTAGTGTAGATATAAGACTGAGAAGAGATGAGATATTTAGTGCAGCCTCCCTCACATCATTTCCCCAACAAATTTCCCACAGTCTCTTGTGGTCCAAAAATCCATTCCTATAGAGGTTTTAGATTTTCTGGTCTAGGGAAGTTGTTTCACCTGAGTGTGTGCAGAGTCTCTGTCCCCATGAGTCTTCATTCCTTTATTACCTTGAATGGTGACCAAGCTACTGGGTGTGAAGCAGAGATCCCAATATGGTCCCCAGAAACTCCGAGGTTTGGAAGCTAGGCTGCAACAGAGGCATCCTGATGAAGAGTGACATTTTGATCTGTCCCAGGCTGAAACACATAAAATGACAGCAGGCGTCCATTCTCCATATTTCCCCATCCTATTTTGTCAGGCCATGAACAACAGCTCTTCATCCCTGCTGTTTCTGACCACAGAGGTCCGAGCAAGAAATCTACTGCAGGGTGTGTTCAGGGGCATCAAGATAGTTATGTGGTGGGTGCATTCTTGTTTGGAGTGGGTGACAGGTACTACAGCTCCTGTCCAGTCCACTTCACTCATCTCTATACACCTTTCGCATCTAACATCACTGGTGGCAAGCCTTGCCCCCTCATTTCCCAGAATTGAGCCCTGCTGTTTAGAGAGTCACATGCCACACATCAAATTTCAATTGCCCTCTCTCTTATGTCGTTCTCAGTTTCTCCAAGTGTAAACAGGAGAGCCCTGGCGTAGACATTAATTCTTTTAAATGATGGTCTTACCTGTTTCATCTACTTACAGGGAAAGACTCTAGAGTCCTGTTCTGCAATAGTTCTGCCTCATTTGGCACTGTGTTGGTGACACTGTGTCAGAGTTTGGTACAGGGCTAGGGCAGAATATTCAGGATCGTTCCTTCCACTTCATGAGGTTTAGCTCCAGTGTAGGAAACTTGGTGGGAGGACAGACACCTGGGTATGAATCCTCAGCAATGCACCTTCTCTCTGGGTGTCTTTTGGGGCAGGAAAACTACTGGAAGTGTTCAGAGATGGTCCCATGTACATGGCTATGACAATGATAGGTAGTAAATACAAACAGTCCACATTGGGTGTTCACACAGTAGGTTCTTTATTATTTATCTATTGATTGATTGCTTGACTGATTCTTTTCTAATACAATACATTCCAATTGCCACTTCCCTTCCCTTCACTCTTTTGAGTTCCCCCACACACATCCACTCTTCCCCACATCATTACTCCTGTCCCATCTCCTCCAGGAAGAGAAGACCACTTAGGGGCATTAACTGAACATGGCACAACATGATACCATAATATTCAGCAGAAACCCTTGCCTCAAGTCAGGTTAGGGAGAATAGTCGGAAGAATAGAGTCTCAAGAGCAGGCAAAAGTGTCAGATGCACACACACCACCACTCTCAGAAGTCTCCCACAAAACACCAAACTAAGAACCATAACATATGTGCAGAGGACCTAGTCCAGACCCATGAAGGCTCTGTGATAGCCTCTTCAGTCACACACCGTATGTTCTAATTTACAGTTCTTCATTCATGATGTCCCCTGTCTCATAGAACTGGAAGGATACCAAAAGGCTGTAATTGGTGTCTCTGTGGCTTTCTTCCTCCTGCTCTTCCTCCTCATCCTCTTCCTTTTCCTCAGACTCAGGCATCAGAAGAACGACAGGAAGGGCGGTGAGTAGGGTGTGGGAGGCCTTGGTCTCAGTGGGGAGTGGGTCCCACTATGGGCTATCCAAGCATGGGGCCAGGGCATCAGCCCCAGGGAAAGCTCAGATTGGGATACATTAGCTTAGAAACACTTCTGTAGAATCTCAACACAAAATGAGATCTGGAAATGTGTGCAATGTCCTCTGTTGTATGGACTTTTCCTTCTCCTGGAAGATTTTAACAGACATGCAATGAGTTGGTCCCTTCTTTTTCTGAAAGTGCTAGGTAGGGGGCTCAACCCTCCTGGCTGAGGTTCCTTCCTCCCTTGCAGTGCAGACAAAGACTGACTTGCAACATCCTGCAGACTCAG